GCCAAATTGGTCTTCTTGTGGGAGTCAAACAGTAAGAATACTGGTAGCACACACAGCTTTCTCCTAAAATAGCTGTATCCCATAAACAAGTCCAAAACTAACCCAGCTCAACAACTCGCTTATTTTCTCCTGTGCCCACATTGTCCCTAGCTTTAGATTTTGATTTTCATCTTTAGGCTTCTCAGTTTGTTAGTGCTGAAGTGCAAAGAGCATCATGTAGAAGTCAAATTAGTGGCCAAATTAAATATCCTAAAAACAGAAGTATTCCCTATGTATTAATCCATGTATTCAATAATTACTGAATGCCATCTCTTGGACAAGCACAACACCAATCACCTGAGATAAAATATGAACATAATCAAGGTCCCGACTCATGAAATTTACTGGGAGAAGGAGATATTGACAATCAATCCTTAATAACAAAGAATACAAAGTAATGTGACAGAAATTGGTGGTGCTGGAAAACCTGCGTGAAGTGATTTCGAAGTGAGGTTTGAATGCCACAAAGGAAGCCACCATGCAAAGAACTAGTGGAAGAGGATTTTATGCGTGGGAAGAGAAAGGTATGGTAAGACCTTAAATCAAGAAAAAGTTGCCTGTTTACTGAAACAGCAACAATGGTAATGTGGAGGGAATGCAGTGAAGGACAGAGAAAGTAAAAAACACAGCTGGGAATCAGATCACACTGGGACTTGCAGACGTTTTATGTGTCAATGGGAAACCACGCCGGGAGAGAGGAGTGGTCAGAGTGAGGAGCAACACTACCTGACTGTGTTTTAAAATCATGGCTAATGTCATGATACACTTACATAGCAGAATAATGGACTTGTGACTATTGTTAAAGTACTATTGTAATAATATAGGAGAAAACTGGATAGGAGAAGGGTGGAATGGCAACGGAGGGGAATTCCCTAAGCCTAAAAAACTCTATCATGAAAGTAAAAAAAAAAAAAAAAAAAGACCATGGTTAGCTGCTCTGTGGAAACTCCAGTTTAGGGGTCAATGCATGGCAAGAGTGCTTAAAAGGTTTCTGCAGAAGTCCAGAACAGGGATGGCTGTAGTCTGCCCTGGGTCTCATATGTATTCGGGTAGAAGTGAAAATACCTGGAGTCGTCGTTTTGGAGGTAACTTGGACTAGACACGATTTGAAAAAAAAAAAAAAAACTGGATGTGGGGAACATAGGCAGGATGGCTCTCAACTGGCTAATCCCCTGCCTGCAACTGCTTAGATCCTACGGACACCAGTTCATGTCCCAGTTGATCCACTTCCCATCCAGCTCCCTGCTTGTGGCCTGAGAAAGCAGTGGAGGACGGCCCAAAGCCTTGGGACCCTGCACCGCAAGGAGGACCCCGAGGGAGCTGCTGGCTCTTGGCTCCTGGCTTTTTTGCCTCAAGAGGGGAAAATCAGGGAAAAGTCGAAAGGGCAGCTCCATCCTCCCTCCCTAAAAGCGATAAAGCCACAAGAGTAATGTATGTCCACCCCATTGGGAAGTTCCGGGTTCGGAACTGTTTCCCAGAGTTCCAGAAAGAAGGGCGAAGGAGCCTTGGCAGATTCCATTCACCGAACCCGCCCAGCGCTTCCCGCGGACCCCCTTCCGCCGCCCCGGAGAGTGAAAATTGCCGCTGACCGACTCCTGGGGCCGATTCCTGGATTGGAAGAAAAACCAATTCCCAGCACACTTTACAGGAAAGCCTCGCCTTCAGAAGTCAGGCGATTCCCTTCTCTCCCCGACCCCCCATTTCTCCCGTTGTTTAACAGTACTTCACCTTAATACGCTCCACAGCTCCACATCCTTCCACCTTGGAACGGCGCCTCCCCGATTCAAAGGCGCCAGCCCCGCCCTGCGCATGCGCTGCCGCAGACACCCAGCGGGCGGCTGGGCGGAGCCGTGCCCTCTGCTGCAGCCTGATTGGTTGGAGTACAGGCGGGAGGTGGCGAGCGCCTGACGCTGTCGGAGACCCAATTACTGAGAGCCGCTTGCTCCACCTAACCAAACTGTGGCGCGCGGCTAAGTGGGCCGTTGCTTCTGCAGTCAGCTGATTGGCTGCCGGCCTTCGCGTCCTGGTAATGCTGTCGTCATTTTGCGTAGAGGACCAGTGTCTTGATTCTAGAATTTAACATAATCAATCATAGTGATCGTGTTGCCCAGATTGACCCCAAGTGTCTGGACATTGTAGGAAAATATCCCCATACTGACACTTAAGGTGATTTTCCTTCTATGAAACTCAGAGTTGGTAAGAAAAGAATTAGATCTGCTTTTGGTTAACCAAGAATGGGTAGAAATAACCCCCAAGGTTTCCTGTTAACATGTATCCACAGCCAGATACGGTACTATATTTCAAATAGCCAACTGTCAACATGAAATATTCCCAATTTTAGAGTTCCAATTGACCTTACACAAACTGACTAAAAACAGCAACAAGGCTTAGGATGACATCTGGACTTAGTCCAGGAAAAACAAAGTTAGCATACCTTACTGGCTTCTCAAGGCTGAGACATCACAAACGTTAAGTAAAAGTAGGGGGAAAAAAAGCTATGATGTTAGTGATAGATGAATAATCACAGATTAAGTTGATGTGCTTGGGAAAAACTACAACTGAAATGACTACTTACCACATGCAAATTTCTCTAAGTAGATTCATGACCTCTTATTTAATCAAACATAAAAATTGAGGCGGTTCTTTTTCCTCTCATTTTTTAAAAGATTTATTTATTTTTATTATAAATTGATATACAGAGAGAGGAGAGACAAGAGAGGAAGGTCTTCTGTCCGATGATTCACTTCCCAAGTAGCCACAGTGGCCGGTGCTGCGCTGATCTGAAGCCAGGAGCCAGGAACTTCTTCCTCCAAGTCTCCCACACAAGTGCAGGGTCCCAAGGCTTTGGGCCGTCCTTGACTGCTTTCCCAGGCCACAAGCAGGGAGCTGGATAGGAAGCAGGGCTGTGGGGATTAGAACCGGCACCCATGTAAGATCCCGGTGAGTTCAAGACAAGGACTTCAGCTGCTAGTTTATTATACCGAGCCCAAGACTGTTCTTTTTCTATAACTTCTCTTTATCTAGTAAAATTGAAGATTTCTCAAGTCATTCTTTGTGCTTTTAACCATTTGATGACTCAAAGAAATACGAGTTGGAAGAGATTTTAAAACCTCAGCAACCTTATTTTTGTCTGATTAGACTGGAGCCATGAGTGGTGAAGTAAGTTGGCTGTCATGAGAGGTCTGTCACAATTCAACTTCTGTGCCACGAATTTGAGTGTGAGATATGGATTCACCTTTATTTCATACATCCTAATGTTTCTGAAATCAATTTTCTACTTTCCTTTGGCATCACCGAACGTAGTAGAATCCGCAAAACCTAGAACTTGTACTAGGACCCTAATTCTGTGACTTGTCTTACGTGCAAAGATCACATAAGAGAGACCTTAAATGAGATTAAAAAAAGAAAAAACAAAAGCTGGCACTCTAAACCACCACATATTAAATGATTATAGTCTGTCTTCTTTTTCCTCTCCTTCCTCAACCAGATTCAAAAAGATAGCCTGAATCCTTTGATGTGACCCTTTCTTTCGAAGTTTCCAGGCTCGTCCCAGTGGCCTAGCAGCTAAAGTCCCTACCTTGAATTAGTATAGATTCTATACGGGTGCCGGTTCTAATCCCGGAAACCCCACTTCCTATCCAGCTCCCTGTTTGTGGCCTGGGAAAGCAGTTGAGGATGGCCCAAAGGATGTACAGTACAGGATGACCCTGTACCCACGTGGGAGACTTGGAGGAAGTTCCTGGCTCCTGGCTTCGGATCAGCGCAGCACCGGCTGTTGCGCTCACTTGGGGAGTGAATCATTGGATGGAAGATCTTCCTCTCTGTCTCTCCTTCTCTCTGTATGTCTGACTTTGTAATAAAAATTAATAAATCTTAAAACAAACAAAAAAGAAACTTCCATATTTGGTGAGACAAAACTTCCTCCAAATTTCAAAAATTTTTTTATTTTGAAAGAATGAATGAAGTAAGACAGAGAGGTATCAATTACCAGGAACAATGACATTGAAGAAAATACAGTAAATACTCTCCCCACACACAACCCCCCACCCTTTCCCCATCCCCATGGCACAAGAATATTAAAACCATCAAAGCACATCTAATAAAGAGAAACAGCAGTACATAATGAAGAAAGCAAATGTCCATACTGCTCAGTCCAACTAACCCATGCCAAATGTCCTTCCCCCAGTGGAAATCCACCCACTGGAATGATAAAGAGGCATAGAGGAGACGAGCCTGGGGATGACTTGGATGCCACTTACACGAGCAATTGGGCTAGTTAGTCTGTTTGGCAGAAACACTAGGTCCAGTTCATCGAATTTCAAATGATTTTGGGGAACAACTGGAGTTTGAGATTCACAGGCTTCTAAAAGGACCAATCCCTGCTCTCTTAGCCACCAGGTTAGCAGCTGTCAAATTCTGGCTTGTTGCTGAGAAGAGTGGAAGTGAGGCAGCTCTAGGCTTAAGAAACTTGTAAAGGGATGTCTGGAAGCAAGTTTACTGCTCTAATTTGAAGTTGTTAGTGAAGGGGCTGAGAAGGCTGGATTGGGACAAGGCAAGGTAAAACAACCTCTGGTTCCTCCTAGAAGAATTAGACTGTCTTGACTGCTTGGATCTCTTGTGGTAAGGAAACTCAATATGGACTATTTAAAATTTAAACAACTGTAGAAGTAGATTCTCATTAATTTTATATATTAATTTAAGCTTTCACATGGAAGGAAGGGACTCTTTTTCTAAAGTGACAAATTGAACTTTTCAGCTCATTTTAGGCAGGGATTGCCCCCATGTATGGGAATAGGCCACTTGTTTTATACCCTAAGTAAGCAGGATTATGTTCTGCTGCCTTTGCTGACATCAGCATATAAAGGGAAAGATAACTGTGCAGGATTAGTTCAAGATAAGAGCCTTTTCCACACTTGGGAGTGTCCACACACTCATACACACACACACACACACACACACACACACACACACACACACACACACACCATGCACACTATAATTAAGCACATTTCCCCACACATAATTGCACAGTCACATGCTTGCTGGAGTCCATCTCACAAATACACTTCAGTAGTAGCTGTATATATGTACATGCAGCAAGATGTGATAGTCGCTCCAGAGTGATCAAAGGTGTTGCACGGATGTCAATGTGGGGAGGTCATTTTAGTGTACAGATGTATACAAGCCAATAGGGACATTAACCTGCAGGTTACATTTTCCCCCTTGCCCCAGGATAAATAAACCAAACTAAAAACACAGGCTGACATCTTCCTGGGTGTCACAGAAGCAACTGCCTGGAAGGTCCACATTTTGTATTTCTGCATTCCTATGACACCTTCACTTTGCCCTGAGGGGCCTTCTCGTATAAAGAAGGTTGCTCCTCTGTGTTCACTGGCAAGGGCTTCTTCTCAGCAGACCTTTCTTCTGGCTTGCGAGCAATCAGCAGGCGGCAGGTGAGCAGGATTCCAAACACCAGAGCATGGGCATAGCGTTTGAGAGGATCACCGACCAGCTGATGAAAGAAGAGCACAGCCAACACGAGCAAAAGTAGGAAGAAGTTGGCCACATCTTTGGGACGCCCAGGCACAAGGGTCATGACGATGCCACAGGCCACCTCGAGGGCACCGATGCTTTTTCGCAGCAGAATGGAATTGATCCCCATTTTCTTCAGTAGAGGGAGGGCTCGGACATAGCTCTTGTAAGCTCGCTTCTAGAGTAGGAATATCATAAAGAAACCATTTGATTAACCATGATGTTAACATTGGAATTAAGAAAACACAAACAGGACCCCCCTTCCCTACTGTTCCCCTTTCATACCAGCCAAGGGTGTGTCATTTTTCACTTGGTCCCATAAATAGGAATCTGGTAACTGAGGCAAGGAAAAAGCAAATAACTTTCTGGGATCCCTGTGATTTAAACCTTAGCAGGAACACTGATATCTGTTTGAATGTCTCTGCCCTAATTCGTGTGTTGCAATCCTAAACCACAAGGTAGTGGTACTAATAGGTGAGTCTTTGGGGAGGTAACTAGGTCGTGAGGGTAGAGGCCTCATAAATGAAATTGGTGCTGGCATAAAAGTCGCACAAGGGACTCCGTTTGCTCGCTTTCACCATGTAAAGACATAAAGTCAGTGCGTATGAGGAATGGGTCTTCCTAGATAAGGGATGGGTTGTCACCTTGATCTTGAACTTCTCTGTCTCCACAACTGTGTACGATAAATTTGATTGCATACAAGTTACCCTCTTTATCATATGTTGTTATAGGAATCTATATGGACCAAGGCAAGCACCAAGAGTAACAAGGCAGAGAATTTGGCTTTAGAATGTAAAAATTCTGATTATAAATTATAAACAACATTAAGAATCTAAAAAGAAAATTCACTTAGTCCAAAAAACTACTATGTGCTAGCCACATGAACATTTTATAATGTCTGCCTTGTCCAAACGCAGGTATATAATATGACTACCAAGCAAAATAAAACAAGGGAAGTCACACACACACACACACACACACACACACACACACACTATAATTAAGCACATTTTCCCATGCATGCGAACTAATTTGGATTTTCCTAATTTGAAATCTGTGATAGTTCCGTAAAGAACTGAACTGGAGTTTACATTTGTGGAATCTTAAAATGAAAAGTGGCTGCTGAGCAAATAGAAATACAAAACTGCATACAAATGGTAGCTCCTGAAATATCTTTAAAATATAGTTAGACAAAATCATTCTCGTGTTCATCAAAAAAAAAAAAAATCCCAGATCTGGTTCAGTTTTGTTAGTCTTATTTCAGCAAAGATTTATTGAACACTATGGGTTGTGTATTGGAGATGAAGACACAAAGAAGACAGGGGACAAAAACATTCACTGGGAGTGGCTATTGTGGTACAACAAGTTAAAGTGCTATTTGTGAGGCTTGCTCCTCATACTGGATGCTGATCCAGTATCAGCTACTTTGCTTCTGATCCAACTCCCTGCTAATGCTTCTGGGAAGAAGTTAATGATGGCTCAGAGATTTGAGTCCCTGCCACCCACGACCCACATGGGAGATCCAGATGGAGCTCCTGGCTCTTGAGCTCACCCTAGCCCAGGTTATTGCAGCCAGTCGGGAAGTGAACCAGTAGATGGAATATCAGTATTTCTCTCTCTCCCTCTCTGTCCCATCCATTCCTCCCTCTCTCCTCTTCAAATTAATATATATATTTTTAAAGATTTATTTTATTTTTATTGGAAAGGCGGATATACAGAGAGGAGAGACAGAGGGGAAGATCTTCCATCCCATGATTCACTCCCTAAGTGAGCGCAACGGCCGATGCTATGCCCAAAGCATTGGGACCCTGCAACTGCATGGGAGAGCTGAAGGAAGCTCCTGTTCCTGGCTTCAGATCAGCTCAGCTCCGCCCATTGTGGCTATCTGGGGAGTGAACCAGCATATATAAGATCTTTCTCTCTGCAAATCTGCCTTTCCAACAACAACAACAAGAAAATTGAATCTTAAAAAATATATAATTCGTTCAAGACTGGCATCATGGCATAATGGGTTAAGCTACCACATATAACATCCTATATGAAAACTGGTTCAAGTCCCCAGCTGCTCCACTTCTGATCCAGCTCCCTGAAATGGCCTGGGAAAAGTGAAAGATAGCCCAAGTGTCTGTTCCCCTACAGCCTACATGAAATACCTGGAAGAAACTCCTGTCTTCAGTCTATCCCAGCTCCAGGTAATGCGCCTATCTGAGGAGCAAATTAATAGATGGATGAACACTCTGTGTGTGTGTGTGTGTGTGTGTGCGTGCGTGTGTGAGACTCTCATATAAACAAATAAGTCTTTCCGAAAAAAAAAAAGTATTCCTTCAAGGCTTTCACGGGGGTGTACAGGGTAATGTCCCACCGTGTGGTGCCAACATCCTATTTGAGTGCTGGGTCGTGTCTCAGCTGCTCCTCTTTCTTCTTTTCTTTTCTCTTCTTTTCTTTCTTTCTTTCTTTCTTTCTTTATTTCTTTCTTTCTTTCTTTCTTTCTTTCTTTCTTTCTTTTTTCAAAGAGGAGGAGAGACAGAGAGGAAGATCTTCTGTCCGATGATTCACTCCCCAAGTGACTGCAACAGCCGGTGCTGCGCCGACCCGAAGCCAGGAGCCAGGAACTTCTTCCTCCAGGTCTCCCACGGGTGCAGGGTCCTAAGGCTTTGGGCCGTCCCCGACTGCTTTCCCAGGGCACAAGCAGGAAGCTGGATGGGAAGCGGGGCTGCCAGGATTAGAACCGGCGCCCAATGGGATCCAGGCACATTCAAGACCAGGACTTCAGCTGCTAGGCCACCGTGCCAGGCCCAGCTGCTCCAATTTCATTCCAGCTCTGTCCTTATGGTTTCGTAAAGCAAAGGAGGATGGCCTAAAGTCTTGGGACCCTGCACCCACATGGGAGACATAGAAGAATATTCCTGCTCCCAGCCTTAGATCAGCTCATCTCTAGTTTATGTGGCCATTTGGGAAGTGAACCAGTGGATGAAAGACCTGGATCTCCTCTCTATAAAATATGCCTTTCCAATGAAAATAATGAAACCTTTACAAAAAAATTATTCAATAGTATTAACTGCCTCCATGTACTAGGCACTATCCTAAGTATTCCAGATACAGATATCAATCATTCCAAAGTACTGCCTTCCTAAAGATTAAAGTTTATAATGGAAAGAGTGGAATGCTAATACGTAAGTCAGCAAAATATTACACCTTCTGAATAAATTATATAGTAATCACAGAGAAGGTACACTTGTGGAAGTATTGACAAATAAGCAGGAGTGGAATCTTACGAGCAAGTGTATGTAACATCAATAAAGTGAGGGCACTGAAAGTAGCAGAATCTGGATAAATATAGGCCCTTAAGCACAAAATAGGCTAGTTTTCTAAGAACATTCCTCAGTTCAATGTGGACTATAGGAGGGAAGAAGCAGAAGTGAGATATGAGACAGGAGAAAAAATATGAATCAGATCATGGAGAACAATATCTATTTTACTATGAAACCTTGGAACTTTGTCCCATAACCTAGGGGTAGCAATACAAGCATTTGATTTTAAGGAAAATCCATCCGGAAATACTGTGTAGGATAGACTGTGAGAGCCACACTTGCAAACAAGGATATAAGGTGAGATACCTGGACTAGCATAATGACAGGATGGAGGGAAGGATCCACAGTCAAAAGTACATGTGAGGGCCCAGCGCGATAGCGTAGTGGTTAAAGTCCTCGCCTTGCATGTGCTGGGATCCTATATGGGCACTGGTTCTAATCCTGGCAGCCCCACTTCCCATCCAGCTCCCTGCTTGTGGCCTCAGAAAGCAGTACAGGACGGCCCAAAGCTTTGGGACCCTGCACTCGCGTGGGAGACCTGAAAGAGCTCCTGGCTCCTGGCTTCGGATTGGCTCAGCACCAGCCATTGTGGCCACTTGGGGAGTGAACCATCAGACGGAAGATCTTCCTCTCTGTCTCTCCTCCTCTCTGTGTATTCGCCTTTCCAATTTTAAGAAAAAGTACATGTGAAAGCAAAATCAATAGAATTTGGCTGTTAGCCTAATTGTGAACATGACCACATGGTCACTGTGGGTGGTCTGGCTGAGGAGCTCTTTTATGTATTAACCTCCCAGGGTCAATGGACTTATATATATTTTCAGTCTTCCCTAGAGCTGATATTCTGTAAACTACTTATCTAATGAAAGGTTTAATGAAAAAAATTATCAGAACATGGTGCTTTATTGGATGTGGCCACTAAAAAGGAAGAGCCCTGAAAATTCTCTGATCTCTGACTTTGGTGTCTGGGTAGACGGGTGTTATCATTCTCTAAATATGACAATATGTTGAATGGAACAGGTTGTCAAGATGAAGACATAGAACAGGAAGGAATAAGGAACTGGTCAGGAGATCCAAAAAGGAGTTTTAAGAAGAGAACACGTGGGCCCAGCGTTGTGGGTCAGCAAGTTAAACCACCACCTGTGACGCTGGCATCCATATGAGCACTGATTTAAGCCCTGATTGCTCTGTTTTCAATACAGCTCCCTTCTAATATGCCTTGAAAGGTAGCAGTGCTTCGGCCTCTGCCACCAACATGGGAGACCCCAGTGGAGCTCCTGGCCCAATTCTAGCCTTTGTAGTAATTTTGGGGAGTAAACCAGTCTCTTTTTCTCTGTCACTCTTTCAAGTAAATAAAAGAAGCCTTGGAAAGGAAGGAAAGAAGCAAGGAGGGAGGAAAGGAAGGAAGAAAAAGAGAGAGAGAGAAAGAAAGAAAAGGAAGAAAGAAAGAGAAAGGAGAAAGAAGAAAGAAAAAGAAAGTGAAAGAAAGCGAAAGAAAGCGAAAGAAAGAAAAAGAAAGAAAGAAAGAAAGAAAGAAAGAAAGAAAGAAAGAAAGAAAGAAAGAAAGAAAGAAGAAAAGAAAATCTTTTTTTCTTTTTTTTCAATGACAAAGCTACTGTATTTGGAGGTAAGTTAGAGGACTGAAAACTGGTGGTTTTGAGGTGAGAGATTGGAAGATCTGTATGGGTCAGACTGATTCATCAGCCCACATGGGAATCCTGAGATGATGGGCTTGTTAGTGCAGAGCAATGCTGACCACCACATGCCATACCACACGAAAGCTATGGCTGGGGGCCTGTCTAGCAGACTGGATCCCAGTAACTGTCTGAGTGTTGGAATAGGAGATGGGTCACATTAGGCAGGGACATGA